TCGTGTGTACAGACCTCACTGCCTTCGGTCTGTACTCACGACCTCGGTCAAGATTCTCCCATACAGACCTCCCGCTCGGTTAATAAGAGCTAAGTATTTTGTTACCTCTTGTTATTTACTTGTCACTAGCGGGACAAGGCAAGTAAGCATTTTACAGTTTACTTGCTGTTTTCTACAGTATCAGATTTCGCATAAAGGAGCCTGTATTATTTTGAGCTTCGCATCGTAGAAATTGACGAGAAAACTAGTTTACTTTTACCAATGCAGGTACGGAAATCGGTCAGATTTTTCAGAATTACCCAGAAACCCAGGAAAGGGGACTTAAAGGAGTTACTGAAAAATCTAAAACATTTCCTGCGTAACATGGTTCCTAGGCCTGACCCCTCTAGAATCTTGCACCTTCGGCGCTCATCGTTTCGGAAATCGGTCACCGTTTGTCCTAGATCCGCGCCTGCTGACTGCGTTTCCGGAGCTTTCGCTGCCTATAAAGTAAATTGCTATAAACAGGGTTTAAATTTATCGAAAATATATGTATTCTAGGTCTTCACACAGCTCAGGCAATGATCCCGACCATAGTTAATATGTCCCGACTAATTCTATAATCATTCGTTTAGCAGCTACACAGCTCCACTCACTTCAAGTTTTCTCTCAGCTCCTCCGTGGAGACCATTTCGACAGCATCCTTGTAGATCTGATCGAGTTGTTTTTGGGTTTTTGGCGTTTTGGTATCGCCATTGTCTTCACAGCTCTTTGCAGAATTCCGTCCGATAAAGTAACCGGCAACTATGCCGATCCCGGCAAATGCAAGGAGGCTTAACACGATTAGCACGATAATACAGCAGCGGCGCTTTGGAGAGGTATAACCACCCGCTCCTTTCTCTTCTACCATCAACATCTTGAAAGATGCTTCGATGAAAATGAGTCTTTCTGGTTGATCTATTTAGTTAACCAATGACTCTCATCAATGTTTTTCTAACGATGTTGTTGCGAATTGCAGACCAATCGTTAACAAGATATAATATTTCAGGAGCGATTATCTGTCACCAGGGCCGAGTCGCACTAGAACGAATTCAAATATTTCCAATTTTTGGCGATGAAAAAAATTGGCAAAAATTTCTCAAGTTCCAAATTTTGGCAGTGGTCGCATTAGACCAACATGTTGGAACCAAAACGTTCCTGATTGAAATATACGTCATAAGATCTATACTTCTCAATTAACTCTTCGCAGATTTTTCTTTACGCTGCATGTTCTTGACTCTCCGCTCTACAACAACTCGTGATTTTCGGCCCATTAATTGGACGTGCAGTTTTCCTGGGCTTGCGTTTGTGTTGTTGGGGGTTATAAATCACTATGTAAATAGTTCATCCATGAACTGAAAACAATACCGTTTCGTTTCTGAGGAAACGAAACAAAAATATGATAGTTAAATGGTTAAAAAAACAAAATTGTTTGCTCTGCCAAAATTTGGAAGCCTCCGAGGCAGCACTTAGGCTTCTTTAAAGAATTTGGCAAGTTTTTGAAACTGGGGGTCGCATTTTTTTTACGCTACTTGTTGACAGATTTATTACTTATACAAACAAAATTGGCTCTAGTGCGACCCGGGCCTTGGAACGTGTACACACAAACGCAGATGCTGTCATGTCTACCACGTCACTAGACCTAGTAACACGGTTAAATTTACCAAAATCAATTCCATACGCGCGTGAACTTCGAAAAGCGGTACATTTACAGCTTGTTATTTATTTTACTGAGTGAAGGGTGAACAACTCCCCAGGCACCTCTTCCTTTATAACAATATAAGGGGTTGGAGTCCAGTGGGCGTTTGCAAGGCCGGTTGCGCCTCCTAAATATAAAACCATCAAGGTCACGCACTCCCTGTTTCTCGCCTTTCGCCACATTACGCAATTGCGCCTGGAAACGAGGCAGAAGACCTCCCAGTTACCTCATTTGTATAAATGCCTGACAAGTATCAGGTCATTCTGCCAGATTTATTAGCCTCATTTTACTGCGTGCCTGAATGTTAGTGCCTTATTGGATATTCCAGTGGCTCGTCACACATGAAGAGCCAAATTTGTGTCCGCGTACGTTACTCATTCATTGAACTCCCATCAACTTGGCCCATGTCCCACGAAAGTAGAATAAAGTCCCAAGAGTCCTTTCTTCGAGCACTCCGTTACGATACAGCGAAATCAGTTTGAGTTTAAAGGGAAATACGCTGTCATCAGCCTAGTCCCTCTCGATCGACCAACGTTGTAGCGAGACGTCAAGCTGACTCCAAAATTTGACAGTACAGTACCAAAATATATTACAAAATATGTCGTAGACAAATTTAAATTACTTACTTTAGAAGGTGTCTGAGTTTTTCTGTGGAGACCATGTCGACAGCATCCTTGTGAATTTTTGTTGAATCTATGTGACTGCTTTGCGAAGGAGTTGGCTGTAGCCTGGCTTTACAGCTACTCACAGCCTTTCTTCCAATGAAGTACCCCATGACTATTCCAATAGCTAAGAACAGAATAATGCAAGTTACGACTACTAACACCAATAAACATCGGCCCCGGCGATGCTTTGGAGAAAACCTTTCCGTCGGCATGGATTCTTTTTCAGCTCCTTCGAGAATCATCGTAGTTCACCGCAGCAGAATTTAGCAAGAGTAAAGACGATCAACAACTGTAATGAAAGAAAAACAATTCAAACTTTTGTATTACTATTTAAAGAATTAGAATGACACTACCGGTGTGTCCAGTTAGATTTTGCAAGTTAATTGACGCGTATTCGACCCGTATAGCTCACATCAATCAAGTCGATAGCTAATTGCGGTAAAAATCAATACAAAGTCCCTGAAAGCTGACGTTCAATTCCGTGTTGTGCTAAAAGATTCTAATGCACTTCACTGAAACAAACAAGCTCCTAGACGTGAGTTGTTTTAGTTAAGTACACAGAGCGACAAAGCCCTATTTGCATCTTATTATGTAAAATAATTGTTCATGGCTGGTTGTTCAATTATTTTAAAAACATGGCCTTATTTGTCTCCAGAAAGATTTTGGTATAAAGAAGATCAGTTAACAAAGATTTGCATTGTAACTCAGTAACCCCTCGTGAATAATAACTGTCGGATGTACGTCTGAAAAAAATCGTCTTTGCTCACTGAAAGAGATCGCTGTCGGTTTGTGAACCGAGTCCCGGGGTTCAGTGTATTCTGGTTTCCGCCAGGACGACAGATTCTTAAGAGGATGTGAAAACAATTGTGACAGACAGAATTAAAATTTGGTGTGGGCCCAGGTTTTAGAGGGTTCAGTTTTGGTAGTTTATCAGCGCTTTAAAAAATAACATTCATTACCTTTGCTAGCAAAGAATGGACCATAATCAAAGAAAGAACTTACGGTAAAAAAAGAAAAAAATTGAAACAAGAAATGTCCAAGCTGTCAAGCGTGAATAAACAACAGTTATAGCGATATTGGCCATGGTAGGGTTTACACTGTCTCATCAGTCATATCGGCTAGTCATATGCAGAAAAGTTCCGGTGAGTTTTCAGTCCGATTTCTAGCTTCAATTCAAGAGCTAATCAGGCTAACGGCCATCTCCACAGCGTAATGTTTGGTTTATTCTCTCCTCAAGTCAAAAGATATAAAAACCCAAAAAGGAGAAAAGGAAAATAAGCTAAGCTCTTGTGTAGCTAAGTGCATGACCACTATAAATAAGATTGGGAGATAACAAGGTTTACATCAGTGCCTAACTGAAAACTTCCGCGCGATGTACTTGTTTTACGGTCAGTGCGTTGCCCAAAAGTCCATTATGGACATTATGGATATACTACAAGAAACTCTGCGGTAGTGTAGCAGCTGTCGTAAGCATGTATTCCTATTTGTCGTCATTGCAGCAGCTGTTATTGTTTTGGGGCTAAGGGGGATTGTTTCTGTTGTTTGTTCTATTGTCCTCTCAAAGTTCATCATGTGAGACCTTACGAGAGCTGCCACATGACCCAAAATCTACTGCGCTCACCCAATTCAACTGACAGCGTGAAGACACTGAACTGTATTGATCTGTGTTGTCCAGATAACAGAATCCCTGAGGGGAGGAACACCCCTTCAATTGGATAGCAATTTTCCACTATAAATGGCTTGCACAGGTGAACGTCTTGGCAAAAATTTTGCTGTTTAAATCTGGAAAAGAACCTGCTGTCTAACTGGCAAACCCAGCCCCACGACGGCTCAGCGCTAGTAGCTTGTCTCACCATTTCAGTGGGGCCGAGCAGTCGTGCGAGCTTTTTACCAGGATACCAGGTCCACGCTTTAAACTGCCACGTTTGTTAAGTCTCCAACATTTTTATGCCTATAATGTTAGTATATTTTGTGAAACTACATTAACCTTCGACATGAGTCATTGTTCAAATGATCATGTTTTGCGCACAGTTTTCTTATCTCTCATCTCGCGGAATCCCCGACGTTCCTTGTAAACACAGATTTTATTTTTCCGTTCCGTGACAGGCTGTTTCCGCAAGTAATCTCAGTAGATCATGAGCGTACCTGAAAATAAAAACTAATTAAATGACATCTCATTTCCTAAATGATCACTTCAGCTGACGCTTGACATCTCCTTTCGCGAAGTCCTGGGCACGATAAGCGACGGCGATACCAGGGATCAGCGCTCATTTTCTTCGTGACAATTTCCATTTTCCGGTCTTCTAGTAGGATTTTTCATTTTAACAGGGTTAATTTTCTTCAAGGTAGGAAACATGGCTAGACAAATACCCCTAACATGTAGCGGACACACAAGACCAGTGGTTCATCTCTCTTTTTCTGATATAACTCCGTACGGATACTTCCTTATTAGCGCGTGTAAAGGTAAGAAAGATAGCCGGCCTAAGCTTAGGTGTCTGTAGTTTTGCGTCATTTTCCTCGACTGTCTCGATTGTATATCCTCTCTGATAAAACACTGGTCTTTTTATATGGTGTTGACAAAAAGTCATTGTATTTCACGGAGTGAGTAGAACGCATTTGGTTTTTAGGGAAGGGAATAGTCCTATCTTCTGGATCGCGCGCACTCCAGACATGTTAAAACATTCGATTTCGAAAGAAACTCGCGATCGCTCCTTGTAGCACTGAGATTTCTTCATAGCATGATTCTTAGTTCTGAGAAATTTGCACCCCGTTCACGAACAGAAATCAACCACAGAATGTTTGCAAGTGGATGCGCAAAAGTATAAATGCCGTGTTTTTCACGAATGCAGGCGTCTTCGATAAACGCCGGGCGTTTGACAGGCAGTTATCAATATTTCGAAGTACAACCGATTGATTGCATGCCTGTGAAAAGAAGAATCTCTCTTTGTAACTATGATAGATGGTGTTGCCAGCCTGTTTGGCAATGAATTGTTTCAGTGTGCTGATCACCCATATCACTTTGGCGATTTTTGTGGAGAAGTTTAACTGTCTGAGATTTTTGGAATTATTTAATTTATTATTGTTGCTTACGAGATTTAAATGCAGCTGATTTTTTTCAGTGGAAAGCTCTCTTTTTCCACAAGGGGGAGGGAGTTTTGTTCTCTCCTTTGTGTATTGATACATACATACATACATACATACATACATACATCATTTATTTGTTTACGCAGGTCGGTATATAGGCAGCATAAGCTGATGTGGACCTGCGGCTAATTGAGAGTTACAAAATAAAAAATAAGAACCTAACAAACCTAATAATTACAAAAACGTATAAAATTCTAAAATATGATTACAAGTTAAATTAGAATTCCTNAATCAAAATTCTACCTTTTTCTGGGTTAGCTTAATCGGGCTTTGAACAACCCGGCCCAGGAGCTACGCTTTTAGGCTGGCCTAAATCTATATATTAAAACTGTTAATTGTCTACAGCAAGTAACAACTTAGCTTTGCAACTGTGAAACAGTTTGGAGATGTAAGGAGTAAGTCAAACTCTATGGTTTCAGAATTTACATGTGTGTTACTGTAAGAGACAGCTTTTAAGCAGACATAATTTAGAGGCTGCTACACATCTGTTTGCTGAGAGTGAGTCACACTGACTGACTCATTGAGTGGCCACACTGATTTATTTTCATGGTAGGTGGTGGGTGTCTTGAAAACAAAGACCCCCTGAGACCCCTAAGATCCAAAACTTGAAAACAAAGACCCCAATTTTTTTTACATTTATTTTGGGGGTACTCCTCTCCCCAGTACTTGAATATGGTGGGTAACCTCATCCCATGCATTGACCTTAATAAATCGATTGATTGATAACTCAAGCCAAGAGATTAATGTGCCTTTCGAAAGTCATTTATGAAGGAAATTTCAATAACATAATAGAAACGAAATGATGTAGGATCCTCTTGAGATTTCCAAAGAAGATCCAGACATGGCTCAACGATTTCTGGACTGATTATCGAATTAACAAATTGACATCGGTTTTGATGCATCTGTCCTCTTATTGATGATAAATTTTGTCATAACTTTGGCAAAGTGGCATAAAAAACTGACATCAATTTGTTTTTTACTATAACAAGACCCCAAAAATTACGGTCAAATGCCGGGAATAAATGAGGGGAAAAGACGCCGTAAACTTGCCATAGACAAAGATAAGTGAATTTTATTTAAAATGACATGAACATTGTCAATAGCTTTTCTCGCTTTTTGATTGGCTGCTTAAAATAGTCAATAAAATTTTGTTGGTTAAGTTGACAGTTTGACAGCTGAAAGTTGAAATTAAAAGCTTGCATAAATTAAAATTTATCTGTCTGTACTCTTATTGATGATAAAAATGATCCAATCAGCATGCAAGAAATTAGACAGTTATTGTGAAATCAATACTTGAGTCTATTTTCAAATTCCCTCTCCCCCCAACCTCCTCAAATAAGACAAGTTTTTTAGGGTGGGTGGAAGGAAAAAAGAGAGAGTACTGGGACAAGGGGAGTACAGTGCAATTGTCCGTTTGTCAACCATATGCTCTCCACGGGAGATTAAAGAGTAGAGGGTGGTACATATTTTAAAACTTCACCCCTTTCCCTCAGAAAAAGACAATTTTTGGGGGAAGTGACAAAAAGAAGAGTGGGTACAAAGAGAAGACTTAAACCTTTAATTTAAACTGTTCTGATTATCGTACACATGAAAAATTACAAGAATGGCCTCCCCTCCTCCTCCCTCAGAAAAAGATAATTTTTCTGTGGGGGGAGGGGGATTTTTCCACAAGGTACTTGGGAGAGGAGNGTCTATTTTCAAGTTCCCTTTCCCCCCAACCCCCCTCGAATAAGACAAGTTTTTTTAGGGTGGGTGGAAGGAAAAAGGAGAGAGTACTGGGACAAGGGGAGTACAGTGCAATTGTCAGTTTGTCAACCATATGCTCTCCATGGGAGATTAAAGAGCAGAGGGTGGTACATATTTTAATTTTTGGGGGAAGTGACAAAAAGAAGAGAGGCTACAAAGAGAAGACTTAAACCTTTAATTTAAACTGTTCTGATTATCATACACATGAAAAATTACCAGAATGGCCTTCCTTCCTCCTCTCTCAGAAAAAGATGATTTTCCTGAGGGGGGGGGGGCGATTTTTCCACGAGGTACTTCGGAGAGGAGTACTGCCCCCCTCCAAAAAAAAAAATATGTGAAAAAATGGGGGGTCTGTTTTCAAGTTTTGGGATCTTAGGGAGTCTGTTTTCAAGACACCTGGTAGGTGGTGGCCATTGGAGGAGAGTAAGCAGTTAACTAAATAAACAAAGTATATTTAATTTGATTAGCAGTCATGTGGATGAAGCTAATTGTGAGAACAAGTCATTCAAATACAACAGTGCTGTGAGTGTTGACTGGTTGCCAGATTGTGTTTTTATAATGGCAATGTCAAGTTCCACAAGACTTTGACAAACTGAATTTCATCAAAGTCTTGTGCAGAGAACTTTTCCAATTTAGGTACTTGTATCAAATGTTAGTGGTTTAAATTTTTCGCAAAGCACTTGGTAATTAGGATTCATGGTAACTTGATAACTTCGGTCAATATTGTGCAAAAACACTCTTTTTTTCTTCAATACCTTCAGTGTCCAACTGTTTAGAAATGTTTTGTATGGAAGTGTTATGTTTATTAAAAATAAACAATCCTAGATATCTGAATAACACGAGCAGAGTAGATATTACTTATTGCACTCCTTTTGGTCAAAATGGCTCAGAACTAAACAGTAATATTCATTTGTTTTTGTAATGTGCCATTTGAACTCCACTTTCTGTTGTATGAAAGATAATACTCTCTTTGTTTGTTCAAGATTATTTTTCACTTATCTTTTAGCATGGAAAATTTTTTGTATGATTTCATTGCCCTCTGTTATGATTCCTTCACTGAAACAAGTCTTTCATTGTACGGAAGCCAAAGTATCACTACAGACAAGGAAGCTTTAATTTCACATCACCATGCAGATTGTCTGTTACTTTTTATTNCCCCCCCCCAAAAAAAAAAATATGTGAAAAAATGGGGGGTCTTTTTTCAAGTTTTGGGGTCTCAGGGAGTCTGTTTTCAAGACACCCGGTTGGTGGTGGCCATTGGAGGAGAGTAAGCAGTTAACTAATTAAACAAAGTACATTTAATTTGATTAGCAATCATGTGGATGAAGTTAATTATGAGAACAAGTCATTCAAATACAACAGTGTTGTCAGTGTTGGCTGGGGTCCACTATGTGCTTTTATAATGGCAAGATCAAGTTGCACAAGACTTCGACAAACTGAATTTCATCAAAGTCTTGTGCAGAGAACTTTTCCAATTTAGGTAGTTGTGTAAAAAGTTTAACTTAGTGGTTTAAATTTTTTGCAAAGCACTTGGTAATTAGGATTCGTGGTAACTTGATAACTTTGGTCAATATTGTGCAAAAAACACGTTCAGTGTCTGACTGTTTAGAAACGTTTTGTATGGAAGTGTTATGTTTTATTAAAAATAAACAATCGTAGATATCTGAATAACATGAGCAGAGTAGATATTACTTATTGCGCTCCTTTTGGTCAAAATGGCTCAGAACTAAACAGTAATATTCATTTGTTTTTGTAATGTGCCATTTGAACTCCACTTTCTGTTGTATAAAAGATAATACTCTCTTTGTTTGTTCAAGATTATTTTTCACTTATCTTTTAGCATGGAAAATTTTTTTGTATGATTTCATCGCCCTCTGTTATGATTCCTTCACTGAAACAAGTCTTTCATTGTACGGAAGCCAAAGTATCATTACAGACAAGGAAGCTTTAGTTTCACATCACCATGCAGATTGTCTGTTACTTTTTATCGTGCAGATTGCATTGTTCTTTGTAGCTTGATAAACATAGCCACGGTATTGAATGTGGTCTCCTACTGATTGCAGTTTAGAACTGTGACGTGTAACAAAGCACGATATCTCTGTCAGTACACTGCAACTGACTTTTGCTGGAACCCATGTAACTGCTCGTTACTTTTCCACTGTTAACCTGGTGTACAACTGTTTAATTGTATTTGAGGATCATGTCCACAGCTTGTGCGAGGTTATCCACATATCCATCTGGTTTGACAGTAGGGTGATGCTCATCTGCAGGCCTACAATTTTAAAAATATCAGTTTATCTGACAAAAATGACTTGCTTTCTTCCTAGTGTAAAAAAATGTCAGTTGCTTGTGATAGAAAGTTAAGTTTCAAATCAGAAGAACTGTTAAAAACTCTCCTCCCTTAATCTTTGAGTTGAGCAGGGATTTTCCAGATTAAGATGATGATAATGTCATCTTTTGTCACTGTGGCAATATGTTGTCCCCTAAAACTGGCCAAAAAGTACGACCATGTAAAATGAAAGGCATTAAAAGCTCTTTCTGATAAAGATACCTGAACTTTCCAGTTCTGACTTGCACTCCTCGAATTCCACAGGCTTGAGCCCCACCCACATCTGACACTATGTCATCTCCAATCATAACTGCCTAAAAAGAAAAAAGCAGATTATTATCTAATGACTAGATGTCATTTCAACACTTGCATTGTAGAAGGACTGATAACTTGGTTAAAATTTGACCTTGGCTCCAAGGCTAAAGGGAATAAAACAAAAACAAAAAAAATCACATGTATTCTGAGGGATAGATTAATGATACATTATTTTTTTATTATTCACCGAAGCCATAGGATCGTGTTAGAATTTTGATATACAATTGAACCCCGCTATTTTGAACTCTTAGGAAACGAAAAATAGTTTGAAATCGCCGATCGTATGTGACTGAAAGGCAAAGCCAAGGGAAATGTCATTGAGTTTGAAATAACCAGGAAACTGAGAAAACTGAGTTTGAATTAGCGGGTCTAACCGTAATTGATGAAATTGCCTATTGCTACTAACAGTAACTTACATCTTCAGGTAACACATGAATGGTTTCCAATGCAGCAAGGAAAAATGCTGGAGAAGGTTTCCCAACAATCTCAGCTTTTACATCACAGGCAAACTATAAAATATAATATTTAGTGATGATGCATTCAAATATTTTTTTATCAAAAGGCACAATATTTGATTTCCTAGCAGGGGAAAAGGCACTGGGTATTTGGAAACAACGTTAAAGAGGGAAAAGGGGGCAAATCAAGTATTGATGAAAAGGAAATAACAAAAGAATAACCTATTATACAGAAACAAAAAGCAGAATTAAAGAAGTTACTAACTTCTAAGGCCTTTGTGTACGGACCTGCATCTAGCACTAAATTTGAACCACGTCTGTAATAGCGGCTGAAAATGATTAATTAAAAATTAATTAAAAGCAAAGCAATTTTAGCAATGCCTTACTCCCATGAAGCCACTCAGGATTGCTTCAAGACTCTCTGGGATGCTGACAACTCCATAATTGAAAGCTATAATTAAGTCCCTCTTCACTTAGTCTGTCAAGCAAGACCATAAACCATGAGGAAAAAATGGCTGTGACATCCTGGGGGCAAGAAGGAAATCACTCTGCCATTTTTTCCACTGTTTTCTTTCATGTCGTGCCTGATGGACTACCGGTAAGCAAAAGAGGGTCTACTTGTAATCTACCATAATTGTCAGTGGTGAATTTTTTAACTTTCTCTACCTTGGAATTCTCCATGTCAAACTTTATAAAAGAAAGGGTGTTCAAAGAGGCATTTGATAAATATCTCAATGGTCATACAAATAGTAATAATTATACCCTGGTTAAGGAGGTTTTCTCTTTTCTATTGTGAGCCACAAATTAAAGCGAAGAGTCTGCCATGACAGCTTTTTCTCTTCAGTATCAGAAATAAGAAAGAAAACTACTTGGACCAGGGTACAAAATATATCAGTTGGAATGAAATACACAAAAAAGAACAAAAAGAAACAAATGGGCAATTTTATTCTCCTCTCAGCCACCCCAAGAAGAGTATCTTCCACAAGAACACAAGTGGACACTGGCTAAACTGGAAACATTGATCAACTTAAGGTAACTCACCCATATCCCATCGCCAAAAGAACAGGACTTTCAGAATTTAAGAGAAGTCTAAAAGCCTCATTCATATGTTCATAAGTAAACTGTTCTTCAGCTCCTCCAATAATAACACAGTTTGGATTGTGACAATCCACTCCTTCAAACTCCGCAAGTCCTCCAGGGTGCAACAGAAGCAAAGGACGTAGATTACGTTCCTGAAGAATCTTTCTTGCCACAGGAGGTGGTGCAAGAAGTTCATTGGGTGACAGTTTGAATCCAAATTGAGCAAGCTTTGAGACAAGCTGTTCCCTTGTACAAGTATCTTCATTTGTGCAAAACTGTACCTTGTAACCTGCTGCTTTGAGCCTTTGAACAAGAATAAGAGTGCTGAACTGTGAAACTCAAAAAAACTGCAAACACTTTGATTTGATTCTGACAGGTCAGTCGTGTACTGACTGGCCAATCACAATTTCAGGACATGTGAGCAAACATCAAAACCACAAATTAAATACTATTGCTGATTGAAGTTAGTTTGCTCACCCCATATTGGCTTTTGCCTTGCTACAAAATGACATTCCATAAATATTTCTGGTGTTCATGGTTTTCTGCATGAGTTTCACAGAAAGTTCTTCTTTTAGAAATTAAACTTGATTCAACACACTCTTGTTGAGAGTGTGTTGGAAACACCCTTCTTGAGAGTGTGTTAAGGCCTTTCTTATGATTATCTTCTTAAGACATATTTAAGGTGGCGTAAACGTTTTGACTGTGTAAAAATGAACGGCCGAGTGCTGAGAGGGAAGGCTGGGCACTGGTAGATAAGAGATATTTTTATTAAAATATGCCTGCACGAATCCAGCTATACTGGCTCTGATTAAACATGATAGACATGAGATGATTTCAGGGAGGAGGACGGGATTTCCCCCATTTCTTCCCCTCACCCCCCGCTTGGGGGACGGCGGGACTTCGAGTTCCCACCAGCATCACGCTGCACATTTGTTTCATTAACTGGGGAAATAATAATATAGGGAGATTATAATATATTAGCTCAACGTCAATGAAAATCTCATTTAGAGTTCAGAATATCTTTTTTCCAGTTTAACACTTCATTACGAACTTCAAAATGTTTAAAAATAATCTTGTCACGACGGAAGTTGGTCTATCGAGGTCTACGCAAGCTCAAGCTTACCTTTCGATGGCTTGAACAGACCCAGGAATAACCTCCCCGCCTTCTTCGCTACTGTTGTAAAGGACACCAGTAATATCAATCAAAACTCCCTCAATTTTCCTAATAAGCCAGGGGGGTCTTTTGCCCGTTTCCTCTCCACTCGCCATCTTTGAAGCCGGAAAAAAGACCGAGACATGATCGATTGATACCTCGTTGACGTCCGAACGGGTCCGATCCTCAGCCTGTCCGACCCCAGTCCCAACCTGGAGCTCAGCATCTGGCGAACGAATGTTTCCGAAGAAAACCGAAACTAGACTCGGAGAATTTATTTACTTACAAAGGTGCAAGAACGGATATCGAACTGTATTTCAGTTCGCGTAGTGTGCAGTTTCTCTCTGCAGATAAATCAGCAAACTAACTTTGTTATGGTTCACGGACGTGACTGTTTGTAGTTTAGAGGTTTTCGCTCGACAGTTTAGTGAACAGTTTCTAGCACTTTCCCGCGCCTGCCGTCACGCAGGTTGGTAGGCATCATGCCTCTTCGAGATTCAGAAGGAAGATTTTGTGGAACGCTCAATCGCAAAGAAGTGGATGGTCACTGGGATCGTTACTACTTTGTTCTGGACGAGGACAAATGTTTACTGCGATACTTTTCTCCCTTCAATGCTAAGGTGAGCCAAGACTCTGCTAAGATTTGTCTTTCTTCAATTTACTATGCAAAACTTCAAGATCAACAAGACAAATAGTAATCTTACCTAATTAGCACATTTTAAAATGTATATGCATCGGCACTTCCGTCTTCTTGATGGAAAGATATTTTCCTTTCGTATTAGGTTATGCAATTTTTACAGCGAAAATTCGAACAGAACGTTTCTATTTATCGGTAGCCATTGACATGTATGAACGAAACAGGCTGTTTATTTTAGAAACAGGAAATAACTTGACGGGACACCATAAATGATAAGCTTAATATTATTGCCACTCGAGACTAGGTTGAATTGTGTATTCTCAGTACAAATGATCACTGCTATGGAAGCGATAGAATAAACAACTAAATTCAGAATTCTGAAAGTTCTAATTTGAAACTGCATGCAGGATTCTGCACTTATACTAATTAGTTAATCCACTTTGACAGTTCTGTACCGGAAATTCTGTACCACTGTTCTGATAAGTTTATTACAGCTGAGCTTCTTTAGCTGAAGTCTCTTAGCAATGGTTGCCTTGTGTAGTGACTTAAAACTTGTTTTGTTCTGTAAGTTGAAGTTCCAGCATCAGACAACATACAAATTGCTTTGTGAATACCATAATAATAATACATGCAGTTACTTTATTGTTAAATGTTTTATTTGTTGTTTTTGTTTAAAAACGTTTGAAACCACACTGCATTTGTTATGTGTGATTTAATTTAGGTAATTAAACATTTTAGTTTTGAGACAATTGGAAACTAATTAAGTTGTCAAAACAATGTCAATTTGAACTATTGATTGGTAAGATAAGGTACAGTAACCTTTGTAATGGTTAGCACTCCAGGCCCAGTTGTTCAAAAGCTGATATGTCATCAACAGCAGACATGATACCATTGTGTATCAACATCCCGATCAGTGCTCGGTGGATCAATACTCAATCAACATACTTGATGAACACTTAATTGACATCTTGATTGACACTCGATCAACACTCGATCAACAGTCGGTCAATAGTCGGCCAAGTGTCGAACAACTCATATGCGTTGATCGAAAATTAGGCGATTCTTGACTGACTGTCGACCGAGATGTTGATTGAATGTCGATCAATTGTCAAACAAGGTATTGATGGAGTGTTGTTCGAGTATCGATCGAGGGTTGACTGATCAAGGGCCGATCAAGGGTCAATCAAGGGATGATTGAGGGTATTGATCAAGGGTATCGATTGACACTGGACCATGGATGCCTTTAGTACACGTGATCCAAAATACTCCCTGTCGCAGCTGTTCAATTTTACAACACTGAAACAAGGACAAGTTTCAATTTCTGTGGGACACTTGGTCCTATACAGACTACCAACATTTACATTAACATTAAAATGACAACCAGTACATTTTTACTGATGTTAAACTTACATTAGCATTAAAACTGTTTGCTTTGAAGTTATCATCATTTGTGAAGTACCATTTGTTGAACATTATGACATTACTTGCAAAAGATTTCAGACATTAAAATTTCGGATGTTTTAATTTGGATGTTTAAATTTATTTAGTTATTTATTATTATTTTAAATTTTATTTTATTGTTTTTTTTTAGATTTTGGAGACTGTGATAAAACATAGCTAAAGTAAATTCATGCCTAAAAAACACGAATCAGACTGAAAAAACATCTGTGAAAATGATAGTTTTACTGCATCCACGAGGTTTTAGAGATATACAGTGGAGAAATTAATGCAAATCGTATCAAGCCGTTACATGTCTCAACCAGAGTTCACCTCATAAAGGAAACTAAGAGCTTTGGAGCTACTTAAAAAAATTTTATACTGTACTGCAAAAAAAATTTGGATGCTGAAAATTTTGGCATGCAACAATTTTGGACGGTGTGGTTTCCGGACACTTTTTTTGTCCAAAAATAAAATTGTCCAAAATTTTTTGGAACTAATGTAGTGGACTTAAATAATCACTCAAGCATTTCTGGATCTTGAGTAAATATATTAAATGTTCACTGTAAATTGAACCTGAGAGAGAGAACCTTTTTCCCATGAATCACTTTATGCAACAGATTGTCAGAACTCCTCATACACTCCCATCATGGACCACATGTGTGTAAAGTTCTGTTAAAGAGATGGGGCAATAGCTGTGATGATCCTTGGTGTTAGTCAGGGGTGCACTCTGCGGTGTTCCCCTCTATCTGAGCTGATCTGACACTAATTGAAATAATCACAACCATTTTAGGAAGCATGTACATGACATGCTTAAGTATGCTGTGTTGCTGAAAGAAGTTCTGAGCCATCGATTGGCCATGCAGATCTACAGGTGCATGTGATTTGCATATGATTTTGTTCTCTCTGGTCTTTCGTCACAGGAAGAATACTTGGATTGGGATGCTTATGAAGGTGAAATTAACATCAGGCTCATAACCAAGGTTTGACATCTTTGCTCATTTTATATTAGGTCACTGACAGATATTTAAAAGCAAAGTAAATTCAGCTGATTGTTGCATCTATGGTCTAACTATATTCTGTATTAAATCATGTTCAAATGTGTCATGATCTGTTTTGTTTTGTTTTTCAATACTAGATTGAGGACAAATCAAAAACTGAGGACAAATCAAAGTATGATGGATCTATAGGTATGTGTAAATGTGTTTTCTAGTGTAATAACAAAAATCAAATTCAATGTTTGCTGCCTTCTAAACCTAATGAAGTCAAAGTAAATATAGAGAGAGAATTGAACTCTCATTCATTTTATGTCACAATTTTTCTTTTTCTCCCAAACTGTCAGTATTGATTTAAAAGTCCCGCAATAGAATAGACATAACCAGTAAACTAATTAAACTCACACCAGTTCCATTCTCTCTATTTTAATAGAGATTCAAACATGTAATGAGAGATTTTATGTACGGGCAGACACGAGAGAGGGTACTGAAGAATGGATAAGAACACTACGCAAAGCTGCTGTAAGTATCACAAAGTAAAGCTGCCACATGTTAGCCCAAGCATAATGCCAAGTTGATCTGGCAAAGTTTCCAATACCTGGATAGGTCTCACTATACCTGATGAAGGCTTTGACTATAACCATAGGCAGTGGATGTAGTACAGCCGATAGTTAGCCCTCTGTAAATAACAAAAATAATTATAACAAATAGACTGGTCTCTAGGTGATATGGATCATGCCTACTAAAGTCATCCGTGGTCGAGTGTTGATCAATACCCTCAATCGACCCTCGCTTAGTTCCTTGCCCCCGAGTGGGGGATAGGGCTGGCAATCGACCCTCAATTGATCCTTAATCATCACTCGATCAATACTCAATCAACATTCCATTGATACATCAGCTGGCACTCGATTGACATTTCGGTCAACAGTCATTTGAGAGGCAACTAATTTTTGATTGATGCATATGAGTCGGTCAACGCTCAGTGGACTGTTGGCTGACTGTTGGTCAAGTGTCAATAGAGATGTTGATCAAGTGTTGATTTGGTGTCGACTGAGTATCGAGTGTGATGTTGATTGAGTGTTGATGAAGATGTTGGTTGAGTGTTGATTGCGGGTCGATCAAGGGTATCGATCAATCCTTAACTGCGGATGCCTTTGGGACGTGATCCTAGTAGACATTTCATGTTAAATTTTAAAGAGTGACGTAATTTCTCTAGAGTTGATTTTGTGTTCAACTTTAACTGGATTTAGTTTTACTTTTTAGAGTAATTGAAGACCTTACAACGTTTGTTATTTCTCAGGTGAATCCTTCTAAGAGAACGGAAGACTCCATGGTTGGGAAAGATAAATTGGGAAATCATAGCACAGAGGCTGATAAAGACAGTGCTCTGGAAAAACCAGAACGTGTTTGCTTTGAAACAAAAATTATTGGAGGAGCAGTGGTCAGGATACCTGTCAGAAAGGTGAGAAATGTTAACATTTAGTGTATAGATTTAGCCAAACCAAAATGTGGAAGTTCTGAATAAATTAACCTGGCTTGAGCTTGCAATCCATTCAAAAACCAGTACCTGGGCAGCGGTCAACTTCAATGAGCTCTAAACCCGAGTGAGCTCTAAACCTTAGCCCCTGGTTAAGTCAAGAGATACTGGTCAGCGGGTGCCTTGTTTTGACAGGTGTCAACTGATCATAACATGGATGTCCAATATCAAAGATGTACTATGTAAACCAAAGCTGCATGTCTTGGTTGAACTATTAGCTATAGTATGGCCGTCATGTTGCACAAGGTCATCATCATTGCCATGGGGCACACGCACCCATGATCCATGCCACTAACCATGTTGTCCATAAGAAAAGAGTTGCATGGTCTTCTATTTCTATGCATGCATGTGGTTCTGTTCCTATAGTTATGATGCTCCGCTTGGCAGCCCCTCAGCTGCTGCTGCTGCATTCCTTTACTGTTTTATTGAAGCCCAGCTGCGACCCATTACTTACTTACTCTGTCAACATTGCATTAGTCGATGGGAAGGAAAACAAGTCTTTCGAATATTCTGAGTGGATTGTTAAAGTGCATAATCGCTCAATGAGACATATAATAGTGTATCGACCTCCATATTCTTCGTTACATCCGGTTTCTGCCTCTGTTTTCTTTGATGAATTCTCTCAGTTTTTAGAGAATGNTTTTTAAGAAAGCTTTTGACTTGTGGAAATAGTTTTAAAGTTTAGCATAGTTGTTGTAATAGTTTTAAAGTTTAGTGATTTCCATTTATTCATTTATTCTAACTTAATGTAAAGCGCTTTTGAGTATGTTTGTCTAGTTCTAGCGCTATACAAGTCTATTATTATTATTATTATTATTATGTACAGACCAATTAAAGTAGGAGAGTTAGAACAAAGTAATATTACAGTGAACATAGTTGAAGTAAAGTTGTTCATTGTTCAAGGAAGAATTATTTTTTATCTCTGGGTTCAGATTTGTTTCATCCACAAGTTTTACATCATTTTTGTCCCTTACTTCAGCTGAGTACTGCTATTTAACAAAATTAATTCAAAGCTGAGTCTCTGTCTTTAATTCTCTGATGTAGATGACAGACTCAGACTGTGATGGTGGAAGTTATTCCAGTGATTCACTCATACGATCAGGTTCTGCTGGTACCACCAGTACTATTAAACTAATTAAGCAAGGATACTTGATGAAAAAGGGAGCAGTGGTGAGTAGAATAGGTTAACTTACAATAGGTTTATTTTTTGGTACATTATTTTTTTTTTACAAAATTAAGTAATAGCTAATACAAGCCTGAAAATATCAGCTGGTCATCAGACATATGTCCAATAAATCTCAGGTTTTCCTTGCAAAAGCTTGGCCTGGTTGGACACTGTGACTATGCATGTCTGATATGTACATTGAAAAAAAATTTCATCAGGAGTTTGTAGCCCAAATTGTTGTCTCATGTTTCATTTGCACAGTTGGGTACACCTACACCAGCAAAATCTGAGACTAAGACAGGTCATCACCATGTTTCCTTTTGTTGGTCACTGATCTCTAGTGAGATTTTTGCTACACCAAAGCTAATTCATGATAAGAAGGGTAAGGCCTCAC